TTTAGAGGGCCACTGGTTTGTTAGTATTTTTATACTATTTTAGTGCTACCCTCTTTAAATAAAGTCTTTACTTACTTACTTACTTACTTACTTACTAATATAATTTTTGAACCGGCCCGCGGAAGATAATTTAGTGATGAACAATAAAGACAATAGAGTGTTTATGTCTCTGAAATATCGGTCTGATAGTTGCTCCTTGGAAATTTGATGTTCTTAAAACTAGCATATTTGCCCTCGAAGCTTCGCTTCTCAGCCAAATATTTCTTTTAAGAGCATCAAATTTCCGCGGGAGCAACTATCAGCCGATAGTTCCTCGACAGAAACACTCGATTCTTTAAATAGTTCATCGATCACTACAAGATTATCCCAACGTGGTCGCTCGAGAGGCTCAATTATGAAACATCGGAGCTCAATATGTGCCCCAAAGAGGCTCAATTATCCCACATCGGCGCCCAATATTCCTCCAGATTTTCTCATACGAGGCTAAAGCTACTACCAAAATTATGAAGTATCGGCAAGGGTTGTTTATTTACCATGCGTGTCGACAAATCAATGCTCAGTACAATACAATTTCGGGTGTCTGGAAAACCCGAATAGCGAATAGCGAATAGTTGCGAATAGCGAATAGCGAATAGTCCCGAATAGTGCCGATAGTCTCGAATAGTGCGAATAGTGGCGAACAGTCACGAAAAGTGGCGAATAGTAACGAATAGTCGTCAATAGTCACCGCTTTAGGTCTAATATCCTACGTTAATTAATTACCCAAATAAGCAACAGAATTTCAGTGAATTTATTACCTTTCCTTCTCCAGACTCAGGCTCGGGCTGTCCATCGCCGACATTAAGAAAACAGAAAACATAAGGATAACCTAATAAAGACGTATTTGTGCTTTTGGAGCGGTTAAACAGAAGGAAATTACGTTTAGAAACACCCTTTGTCCTGATAATCGTCTGTGCTTTTTAGCGGGAAAATCCCGTCCTACGTTACTGCGAGGTTTACTGCGAGATACTGGGTACTCTATTTGCTACGATTTGCCACTGATTTGCCACTATTTGCCACCATTCGCCACTATTCGAGACTGTGCGCCACTATTCGCACTATTCGAGACTATTCGTACTATTCGAGACTATTCGTATTATTCGCTATTTGCTATTCGGGACTATTCGCTGTTCGCTATTCGCGACTATTCGCTATTCGCTATTCGGGTTTTCCAGACACCCTAGAATTTCGCCGTTTATCTCGACCTAAATCCTCACGCAACCTTTCATCTGATCGGTTGGAAACAAAATATGAAAGCTGCGAGAAGTAAATGTTGTAAAATATTTTTAAAACTCACCTCAATTTCGAAGAACACTTCCAATAGCTGGGATCGAAGGAGGCAGCCATCGATGACCATTGGCAAATCATCGTTGATACGAAGTGTTTGCGAGAGACCGTGAGATGGATATTCGTTGTACTGATTGGCTCCGAAGTATATTAAATTGTTACTTACTTACTTTCGGAAAACTCAGATGATGGCAATAGTGACTGCTGCGCAAACGCAGTAGTCACCAAAACAGCGTTCAGCGTATCAGCACCACGTCTCAAAGTTACGCCCTGTTCGGCGGGGTTCGTACCTGGATGGGTGACCAAATACGAATAGCTCGTGTTGTAATAACTTCTTTTTTTTTTCCTTTTATCCCTTCCCTTTCCAAGGCGATATTAAAGACTTCAGAACTTCCAGCCTTGTGTGATGTCGTTTTTTCTGTTTCTCAACTATTTGTTCCTTATTTCGCCATGTCCGCGTTCATGTGTATTTATTTACAATATCGTGTAAATAAACAGCGGAACACGTCGTTGGAATTCTCCTCAGTTCTCCTGACTGTTGATCGCCTAAAACATTAAATCTCGGGTTGAATCATTCGAAAATTCATACAGCTTGTCCATTTTAAGACTTACAATGTCATCATTTTCGGCAATCGAGTATGGTTAAACCTGTATGACCGGACACCTTCGGGAAATGAGCTACTTATATAATTACAGGTAGCTTCTACTTATAAAAGCGTTCGTACGAAAATGTATTGAATGTAGAGCAATTCCTCGGTGAAATTTTGAGTACTTACGTCAGAAATTCAAAGACCTAACTTGACACACTCCAAGCGACTGTGAAACGGCCTTACAGGAAGTGACCCAGTAAGGGGGTGAAGGAGTGAAATCGCTTCAGCACTACAACTTGGAAAATAATATTTTCCAAGGTTAACAAAAGGAGGAATAAACCCATTTGAGCGACATAAGCTCGATCAGATAAATGCAAGAAACATGTAGGAACGTCTGTAGACAAACGTACAGCTTTCTCGAAGTAAAGCTACGGCTTCTGCGAAGAAAAATGTACGATGACAAACATGATATCCGTGATAAGAATCAACATACTGTACTTGCAAACAGTTCTAATCAAACAGCTGGGCCCGGCGTCACAACATAGAATGCAAGTTACCAACATGTTCACGGTAAATTTCATACTTTGTCTCTCGAAAGCAAATGCTTGGAGATTTAAAAACATATCTTGCAATAGAAATGAGCCTAAACAATGCATAAACACATGGCAAACTCGGCGAAGCGACATGCCGATTAACAGCGGAAACCATGCAGATCTTTGTCCTCTAAAAATTTGCTATAGCACGGTTTAACGGCTCAGCTCTACTTAAAATTCCTCCTTACAACACCACATGAAGTGCCCTTCATAAACACGAGTGAAGCAACAAAAAAGTTGAAAGATCGAACAGAGAACGGCAAATACACGAATAGCCGTAGGAGTCGTGTAGGCTTGTCAACCACACCGATCATGATCCTCCTGATCTGATTGGTTTAGATAAAAATACGGCGATGCCATTGGTTAACTCGAAAACAATCACCGATGATGTCACTCTTGCATTACGCTATGCTTACTTTTTTATTCGAGATTTCTTCTGCCTGTACTAAAACTAACTCGCGCATCGGCTTTATAATGTTGCTGCCTCGTGACCCTCGCGTCCTCGAGAGGGTGACTCGTTGGCGATTACTTCAAGTATTTGTTAGCCTGTCCTTACTCTAAAGGTCTTTTTCAACTGTCTCTCGATCGCACGCGCAAGTGAAAACTCGCTGTGTTCTTCGATTGTAGTTTGTATTAGCCCTTTCTTCCTTTCCAAATGTATTTTGTTTTGGGTTCAAATGTAAGTTCCCTTAATTTTTTCAAGGACAAGCCATGGATATTGGCTCAAATTCACAACATCTGTTAAAAACTTGTGACAAAAAGTGTAAATGAGGGCTTTAGGGCCTCCACGGAAGAGATACTTAATTGTCGACAACTACTTGTTACCGACAACTAAATGTTATCGACAACTAAAAAATGTAGTGTGTGAGATGAGTTGTCGACAACTAAACGCTAAATTTTAGTTGTTGACAACTAAACAGTTTCCCATTTCGAAAAGGGAAACTGCTTACGTCATGGAAATATCAAATTTTGTCCATTTGCTCTTGAATCTCAAGGAATATCGGAATTGTGTTAAAATTAAGACAGTATCCCTTTGTTAAGCACCTTAAGCAACTTTACTATAACTTAATATATCCTTATGTATATCATATGCATTTTTGGCATGGGGTAGCACTTATAATTCGCACCTTCAAACAGTCCAAATTAAAATATTCTTTGAAGACATAATTGATCATCGCAGTTATATGCACAACTTAAGCAGTTGTGAANTAACGGGGTGGTCGTAACGCCGGCGGGGTTCCACTGTACTTTCTGATGCGTTTTCGCCTACCGTCTACACTAAGACGATCGAAAACGCATATATTTGAAAACGCTTTCCAGAGTGGAGACATTTGAAGACGGAAATGCTAACATCACGTGCGCATGTGCAAATGACAGTTGAAGTATTTTACCATAGCATATCGGCGTTTTCGAGTGTTTTAGTGTTGACGAAGAGCGTTTTCGGCGAAAACGTATCATCGAAAACGCATTGTAATGAAAACGCAGTAGCCTCATCGTCTTCATCAGCAGACGAGGCTAAAGTTACATTTTTTAGCATTTTTCTGCACATTCCAGGACTCGGTTTCTTCAGTTGTGTTGTAGTCTAATTCTGATCAAATAAAAACTGAGTTTGGCGTTTTTAGAAGGTAACTTTATTAATAACAGCTACTTGATAATAAATCGCAAAACGTTAGCGTGGCTAGTTTCCGTCTATCTGTTTGAAAGCTCACAGACAGTTGATTAGTGATTTTAACTGTATAGTAGCTCTACCTCAAAGTTTATTTGACCATTGTCATGGCCGCATACATTGCGCATGCTCCAATCAGAAAGCCACTGACACTCAACGACGTGCCTGCATCTATCCAGTCACAATCTTCAGAGTCGTCATCGTCCATAGGCACTTCGGGTGAAGTACTGCTGTGGTTATAATTACAGAATTCCTCGCTGCAACACTCGATTTTACACTCTTCTGATTTTCCAAAATCCTCAGACACGCTATTACAGAAATTCACTGGACTTTCACAAAATCTCTGATATACACAGCTCTTGCCATAAACTCGGATTCCAGAGGCGTTTAGGAAGGAGAAGATTCCACAACGGTCAGCACCTTTGGCATGAGTAGCACAATGAGCCTTCGAGATCTTCTCATCACACACTTGCAAGGAGGACTGCATGCCTTTGCACAAATAACAGCTAAATCCATCGGCTATAATGGAATCAGTCAATAAAAATATCACCAGTTTTGTTTTCATGTCAGTCAAAAGGGTTGGATCGTAGTGGTTCTTTAAACGCCATGAAATCAAAGAGAGGGAAAAAAAAGTAAAGCAATTTATGCGTCAAAATTCAGGTTCATGACTAATTTAGCTCGTGTCAATCTGTCAGTGATCTCTTATACCAAGGATTTCTTTGCGGAATACAATTATGGAGCATCGTTTGGGCTCAATACGTCATTAGAACATTACAGTCCAGAACTGACCTGAACTAGAACTAGACAGTATATTCGGAGTCACTGATAAACCGGCGAACTGGGAACGCCTGAGAACAATGGAATCCCATCACAAACAAATATTAGTAAATCAAGCTTTCAGTTAAACTCTGAACTGAGTAGAAATGATACACCCCCCGTTTAGAGCATATGTGCTAGTATACTGATAAGCTCGTGTTTCGGAAATGTTTCGCTTTTATTCCCACGATTTCCCGGAGTTCGACTCTTGAATGCGCCGTTCAAAATGGCCACTGTAACTACTGTTTCCAGCATCAAGTCAGACCACACAACATTAAACTAAACGATGCAAACGATGAACTAGCACTCTTGTCAGAGCCTGCCGGTAAGGCCCTATAAACAGAGCTGGCTCGCGATTTCCTTCAGTTCAGCCAAATACAAACTTGTTTTGTTAAGTAAAGGAAATTAACGTTGACTTACCATAGGTCAGCCAAAAGCAAAGAATCGCACCCGTTACTAAAAGGAGTACTTTCATCGCTGACTCGCAGTTCAGTTTGATTGCTGAAACCTTGAAGTTTTATGGCTCGCAAATCTGGTTCGCGCTTTGTGATGTTGGAATGTAAATACGCATTATTGGATAAACAAGTCTCAAGTTTCAATATCGTCACATAAAAAATTACTGTCAGCTCCACTGTTGCAGAATGAACTTTAATTTCTTCCAAATAGTGAAGCGATTTGTCGAACACTATTAAATTCAGTCATTATATTTGTGATTACTGAATTCGGAATAAGAAAGGGGAAAAAAGTTTCCGTCCCACTTTATTCCCTGATTTTGTATGCAATATTTTCCCAACCTTTTTGATATGTCAATAACTCTAATGCAGGGCCAAATTAGCCTCTCTTTCATTGTTTGGTTCAGAAAAATACACCTACTATCTTTGAAAGGGAGAGATCGAGTATCTGTAACAACCTGCATTACAACTTTTGCATTCCTCTGTTGAACCTCTGGTTCGGCTGTACTGCGCATGCTCCTTAACAAGACTCGCTTTAAGAGCAGAGGTAAAGACCCTGGGTAAAGAAACTCATAGTCTTTTCATTTAGTTCGATATCTGTTTCCACCGGATTTTTCAACTGCAGAGTAAAGACGCAAGGTAACAGGAGTAACAACATGCAAACAAAAGATCTTGATGGCAGAAAGCCGAAGATACTAAAATATACTTTTAGAATCGGAAGGAGACATGAGTGTTTGAAATCAACGTTGAATGGCTAATAAAAAACAGTGACACTACAGCGAAAGAATGTTTAGCTGCGTGATAACTGTAAGGAAAGTTTCATACTGCCATGAACATTTCGACGATAACCAAATCTCGGAAGCAACAATTGTTAATTTTACTCGCCCGGTTATTCATGGGCTAATTATTATGTCCAGGCAATCCCAACATACAGTATACTACGGAGAAAGACATAAAACACATTTCCAATTCTGCTGTTACTAGAGTCTATTGAAAGAATACCTTCATTGGCCTTTTCACTTTTTATTTTCAGTCTCGCCTCATTTTCCTACAAGTTCGATATCGTCAGGACAATAGCTTTGTGGTCTACTAATTGCTTTAGCGCTTTAGATTATGCCAGCAAGAATTTTCATCATATGATACAGCTGTTTCGAGAACGGTTGTCGGAATAAAGCGCAAAAGTGCACGCGACAACCCCGGCAATGGATAGAAGATAACTGCTACACGCGCTGAATACTTTAATAATCAGTATGACAAAATGGCAAGAAACATTTCTTAGGTTTTCTTTTTCTTCAGACTTCGGAACCAAGGTTCTTTTCCCCACTGACTTAACAAGGTTTTTAAACTAAAAGTCATGTAACAGTGGAAGAAAAGCTACGGAAAAATGGTCGAATGAGTGGAAAATCTAATGTATCCTTGCTAATACTTCACGCGCAAAAATACAAATTTGTAGATTTCCTCTGCACCGGTATGCAAAATTTTCATGAAAACCCAGACTACCATTGGGTCTTGTCGCGGAGACGCGACACTTTCATCCGACAACCTTTCTCGAAATTGCTGTATGCAAATCAAATCACATCCACAGGCAAACAGATGAAATCTCTTGTTGTAGTATGCAGTATCCCGCTGTATTGTCACAGTGACTACATTTCTTACCAGCAATTCTAAGTTCACTCTACAAAGTTTATTCATGTGCTATTTTATAATTTTTCTCGTACCGACTGACGAGTCAGTAAAGGCTGTTGAAACTTTCCTCCAGACAGTGTTATGTTTTTTTGTTTGTTTTTTCTAAAAATGATATAATTACACAACATAGAAGTATACTTGACTAGCAAAATATATGCAACATGTTTCATTCACTAAACACTATTCTTCCTTTTCGTTCATGTGTTTGTTTTAGAAAGTTACAACACATAGTAAATTACCTATTTCAGTCACTTTGTTAAATTTTTCTGTACAATATGAGAAATTGACGTTTCAGTCTACTTATAATAGGGTTCGGCTTGTTATATGATCAATTACAGCATTACCATTCCTAGTGTACTTGAATGTGTAACCTATCTATGAATATGGACTTGTAAATATTTTGCAGGTTGTGAAAGCACAAAAGAAGTCCTACACTTTCCTGAACACCCATCAGAGAAACTTTTGCCAATAAATTAGGTGTATAGAGAGGATCTATAGATTGAAAAGGATCAAATGAAGTCAATCATTTGAAGTATAATTTTTGATGAATGATTTATAGTCCATAACTTGTCCTTCGCCTTCACCCGCAGTCATGTCAATAAATTCCTGAAGGTTCATTGTGCTTCCTGCAAAATGAAATAATTCCCTGATTAATAAAACTGCCTCTTAGCAGGAGCAGCAGTGGCGTAATAGTAAAGAAAACAAAAGCCGTCAGTATCGTTAAACTGTTAGCTCATGAGAAACCTGGCTTAATCCCAGGAGGAGAAAGAGGTTGGTCCCACTCACATCATGCTATGGAAACCCATCAGCCTACACTGTAGGAAAAGATCATGTATTACAAAATCTAACCAGCCCTCGCATGAATGAACTGTTTGAAGATTGTCTACATGTTGCTCATGAGATGTCAGGACCTTTTTAATGCCTTGAACTGGAAATGACAGATTTAACATTTCTCATTTGAACAGTTTGACTTTTACTTTGTTTTGCCTCATATTCATTTCAAACCAAACAAACATTTAAACCACAATTTATATCAGTTATCTGTATCTTGAAGGTGCTACTGGAACATATGCACACGTATGCTTTCATATTGGCTAGCATCTCTAAGAGTCAGCTGGAGAACACGAGCATATATACCTGCTGTTCTGATTGGCGAGTATGGGGGAGGAGTTTTAATCCATTCTCCATTTGGCTTTTTCATGTGTGATCGGTCTGAAGCAAAGGTCCTAAGAAATGACTCTGCTGGTATCACTCGGAATTTTCTATGATCAGAATAAAATCAGTTTAACATAATTATTATTCCTATATAATTAATCCTATCTATAACAAAATTCTTGATTGTGATTGGTTCTCCACGCACCTATTTGTCCCGAAATCAGCACGTGATCATGTGGGTGTCCAATAACAAGTATCCAATTACAACTTTTTGTAATTGGATACCTGTAATAGGATGGCCATTTGCATGTCAATTACATGCTCTTTAACAGCTTCCTTCTCAATGTCTCCTGCAGTTTTTAAACCTTATGGATAGTGATACTGACATTTTCGCTCAAAAGAAGTTCTCAAAAGACCTTTTTAATTTAGATATTTTAAGTCATTATAGATATGATTAATTAGTAATTGGACTTTGTGTTGTACAAACACTTGTAATTTCAAATTGGCCTCATACTTCTTGCTCCTCAGTTTTGAAATTAGTTGACTGAGCAATTACGTCCTGAATTGTACTCCACTTGGTCCAATTACTATTACATATTTTCAGATGGGAGAACAAAGTAAAGTTCTCACATATCTGGTGTATTATTAATTAAAATGTGGATTACTTTGAGTGTCAGTAATCCATTTTTTTAACTTTATTATCTCAATCTACACGTCACCCAAAGACCTAAATTTATGTCTTTTGATAAAATCTTTTAGCACTTGAACAAAAGGCAATTTCCTATTCAACACCCTTGCCATTTGCCTACAGTGAAATGTGTATTGAGCGGACACCATATTAAGCAGACACCCTCTATTAAGTGGACACCAGCTCAAATCCCAAAATTTCCTTGCCACATTTACTGTAAAATACGCCTGCATTCAGCAGACACCTCTTTTGAGCAGACGTGGACACCAATATTAAGCCATTTTGTTGCACAAAACCTGCAATAAGTGGACACTTCAAGTGCTTTTTGCTTCTACAAGTTCAGCTCAGACTCCTTAAACATTGCTCAGCAATGTCGTTTTAAAGCTAAGTAGATTATTCCAGATTGATACATTGACTGACTGGACATTGTGCTATGAGCAGTCTTTGATCTTACACTGTGTTAGGCTGTGTTTCAAAAGATTAATAATTAACTATTATTACATAATATATTAGAACCTGTTTCGAGCAGATACCCTTATTAAGCAGGCACTAGTGAATGTCCCAAGGGTGTCCGCTTAATACAGGTTTCACTGTACGTTTTTTCCAGTGACAAAAGAGCTGTCATGTCACTGTGACGCTTACTAAGGAACGTGTCACTTTAGATGGAAGTGAGTAAACTCTCTCTACCAACCTTTAATAAAACTGAAAATTACCTGTGAAAGTGTTTTTTAAGTTGTCTGTCATTCTGTATTGCTTGGTGAACATATTGTTCAAATGGACAAGGAAAAGGAAGAATGGAATCCAAATCATATATGAAGCCCTTGTCACCCACTCGACGTAGTAAAAGTACATGGTAATCCTGAAAATTTACAACGAATAATCATTTGAAGTCCTGAAATGTTCTCTTTTCATGATAATTAGACAAGCAACTATTTCATAATCACTTAAGTAAAACATAATGTAAAAAAAAGTGCATCTCCTTTTGCGCCAATGGTTAAAGTTTTTTTTTTTTTTTTTTTTTTTTCTGTCAGTAGCCTACATGCTCACATCTAGAGAAAAAAGCATTAGCATGCCAGGCATGCAAGAGTTTTTTTTGTGAATTAAAAGCCCCTGGATGTAGCAGGACTCAGTTTTCTCCTCTTAACAGTTATGATAAGGTTAATCCAACAATTTTGTTTGGTTACGATGTACAGCGAAAAGAAAAAACAAATTTAGAATGTAATTCACCTTAAGATACGTGAGATCAAGCCAACTTTTATCAGGGTTTGATTTAAAAAAAATAACAGTCAATAAGTGGCTTTGTTTATTAGAACTACATGGAGCTGTTACCAGCCAGGCAGCTAAACATCATGCAGTCTGCAAAAGTAGCTAATGGTAAACGGCAGATTGCTGTTGATTGTGGATAATTTTTCTGACTCACTTAACACCAAGAACCAATTAAATTATAACATCGTCGCACAATAGTGTGGTCATTGTAGTAGCGTCAAAAACAGTGATAAGGTCTATTTTGCATTCACAAACTGAGACATTTTGCACAAACATAAATGGCAAACATAAATGGCTTGAAAAAATTATCGTAGATGGTAACGATTTGACTTCTACACACAGGCTGCTACCGTATAATTACAGTTCTAATTCCCAAAGGTCAAACTACAGAAACAAACTAATAAAGTTATCAAAACTTAACTTACCCACACAACTGGGGCTAAGGGATCCTTAGCTGATTTTTGCATCCATAAAGGAACCTGTGTATATAAAAAAGAAATTTACCAAGGTTTAGTATGCTTTATAGAGGAAAACTTTACACTGAAATACAGAAAATAAATTACAAAAATTTTGAAATTTTAACAGTTTCAAGTTGACTGTAAGTTGTCCTCAAAAAGCGACAGTGACTATGTTTTTTTTCTTTGAAAATAAGTGCCAACAGTGGTTTTTTTTTTCTCGAACATGAAAAAATTAATTTACGCATTGGCACACGGCAGCAACATTTCCTCAGGGCAAACAAATTCACTTCATCATCAGGTGCTTTGTTTTGGGACCAGATCAAAAAACATACAGTAAGAACCTCTAATAAGTGGCCACCTATTAAGCAGGCCACCACTATTACGCAGCCAGTTTGCAAAGGTCTGATTTTGTTGTCAGAAAACTACAGTAAATAAAACCCCTATCAACCGGCCACCTCTATCACATGGCTGCAACCACCTTTTGGTCATCCCAATAAGGGTTTTCTGTTGTCCAGGTTACCCCTGTTAAGCAGCCACCCTTGTGGAAACCAACTTGAAACAAAGCTATATGTTCAGCCGAGGCAGACTGCCCCATTTAGAAGCATGGTATTAACAAAAACACATACAAATGGTTCTAATTTGTGTCTCATTGCCATTGCAATGTATGAATAAAACTATCGATTAAATAATGATTACCTGTCTTTTTTCATTAGATATAAACACTGCATAGTATTCATCTAGATTTTGCTCTCTTTCATCCCTTATCTGTTCACATAATTTCCAAACATTCTCCTCACTGCAAAAAAAGAGTAAATAAACCAAATCACTGGTAACACAATATAGGTAGGGTCGTGGATTATCATTAAGGATTTATATAATATAAGGCTAAATACTAAATATAGCTTTAGTTTTCTGTCAAACTTGATTCGCAGGAAATGCATAGTAACTACTCATGTTTCTGCTTTTTTCTTTAAGTCGTTAGTGGTTACAGTTAGTCCCATCATAAACCCAACCTTAACCCAATTCCCCGCACTGTCCAAAAATTGACTCGATTTAACCCTATGGGGGGTTCACGGCCTCTAAATGAAACTACATTTTGATAAATTGGTGATATTGAAATTTCACCGTCATAACGTGATAAAACGTCGTCAAACCTTAGAACGCTTCACTGAATTGCGTGTGAACTATTTATACATAAGCCTTGAGTCTTTGTGGTTTAGTATCACATTGACAAGCAGACTGAACAGACATGGGGAAACCCCGCGAAGATACAATTTAAATTTTACGGACAGCAAAATAAAGATCAGAGCGACGACACGGCTTGGCTTCGTAAACAATGTTCCATCTAATAGATATATTTACATAATACACCTATGACCGTAGAGCGTAGAGGCTACAACATTTATTAACTAACTTACGTATTGTACGAAATGCAATTTTCCAAAAAACAAAGTCATGACCTGTAGGTACACAAGTGATTGAAGTAATACCTTAATTTAAGTGCACCTCGTTTCAACATGAAATGACAACACGTATATCAACAAGGTATTACAGATCTAACGTACCAATAACAGCTCGTATATACGCAGGAAGAAAGTGATATGTCTCCTTTAGCTTCCACCGAGGTTTTAGCCTGCATTGCCTTGAAAACAAATCAAAAGACACGAGCGTGATTGTCCATTCCTCAAAACGAGGCTTACGCGAACTTCCGCTGAACTTCAGTACTGACAGCTCGAAAAACCAATATGGCGGAAATGGGGGATGAGAAGACTGTTTTCGTCACTGTTGGAACAACAAGTTTTGATCACTTAATCGAAACAATTTCGAGCAAAGCGTTGGTAGAAGTAAGCAATTAATTTTGTTTTTGTTTTTGGTGAAATGAGTGATTGTGTTTCATGTTCTCCACAGCTTTTTGAGAGGTTAGGCTACCACTCCATTATTTTACAAATTGGAAGAGGTATTTATGAACCAGAGATCATAAATAGGAAAGGCTTCTCTATGAAATACTACAGATATAAAGATTCAATAGAAGAGGATATCCAAAGAGCATCGCTTGTGATCAGTCACGCTGGTATGGCCAACTTTAAGGTTTTATCTAGTTAATTAACTGAATTTGACAAATTAACATGGGCGTACGGGGCGGGAGGACGGGCTGCAGGTCCCCCAGTTTCAGAAATTTTTGACATTTTTTGGGCAAAGCGCTGTTGATTCTGACCAAAGTGCTAGGGAGAAAACATTCTTAAAGGTTGTCAAGGCCAGGCTTGTAGGCGATTTTTTCTGACGTTTGCCTTGTCAAAACAGAGGTAAGGTCAAATGAGACAAGGATCTAGTTATTCTGTTTTGGAAAAGCCATATATCGTTTAAATGTGTATGGTGGAAATCCAATACTTTTGTTTTTTTTGTTGGCTCTGAAAAGAGCCGTTTTGAATGGTTCCACAAAGAGCTGTTTTAAAATTTTCTTGAACCTTTCATACGAGGAAAAATTAACTGTTTCATTTATAACTTTCTGATTTTACTAGCCTGTTAATTGAGGTCGTAAAGTATGCGAGGTTTCAAAATAACCATTTTTGGAATGATAACAGTTTTATTAGACTTTTTGTTTTTACTACGATTTGAGTGCATTTGAACAACACTCACGTTTTCGGGCATTGCGTAATTTTTTTCGGGCAATAAGGTCATGGTACCCCCAAGTTCGAAGGTGCCCGTACACCCATGCAGATTAACAAATTAACTTAATCGTTGATAATTTGACAACTTATTTAAAGTTAAGAGTTAATGGTATGATCACTTATTAATATAGCTGATTTAAAATATAATTTGATTGTGACCTTTTCCTTAGGGGCTGGTAGTGTATTAGAGACCTTGCAAGCTGGTCGACCACTAATCGTTGTAATCAATGAGCTTTTAATGGACAATCATCAGATGGAATTGGCAAGTCAGCTGGCTGAGGATGGTCACTTGCGTTACGCAACTTGCAGGTGTGGACAAATCAGTGGTCACATGATTTAACCCATGTATCCATCTTCACCATGTTCACAAATTTGGACTTGCTCAACACTAGAGTCAGTATTAACAATCAGTCAAAGTTCAGCATGTGATGATTCCACTGCCTTTTCATCCACAGCACACTTGAGGAAACATTAAAAGAAAGAGATTTATCAGAGCTGAAACCTTTTCCTCCTGGGAAACCTGAACTTTTCTCGTCATTCTTAGACAAGGTTATGGGATTTGATCATTTGTGAGAAAGGATCCTCAAAGGATTAAACAATAATGACAAACTTAGTCAAGTTAGTGAAATGGAGGGATCATATGAAGGATGAAAGAAGTGTAAAGAACTTTTGTGATAAACAATATTCTGAAAAATTAATGAAACATAATCAACTAATATCTCACCTCTCAAGGTTATGGGATGAGTATCACATACCGTATTTATTAGATTAAGTACCCAGGGTGCTTATTTAATTTTTGGACTTTCAGGGTGGGCGCTTATTCAAGGTGGGCACTTATTCGAGGCTGGGTACTTATTAAATTTTCACCATTTTCAGTAAATAAAAAGTTTATTTTGTAACAAACAATAAATAAGAACAAAACATGACAAAATATTAAAGCATATAAATTGTAACTGTTCATTGTTCAGTTTATGCCAAGGACTAACAACTCATTGTTCAGTCTTTGCAGAAGTCTCTTTAGCTATCATAATTCTCAATCATCATAAAGGTTTCAGACAATGAAACTAAAGATTGTAAGCCATTAAAGAAATACCGTAATAATCAATACCCGTATTCCTCTTGTGCACTTTATTATTATTTTTTTTTTTTTGTTTTTTTTTGAGGGAGGCGGGGTGGGCGCTTACTCAAGGTTGGGCGCTTAAAAAGTACTTTTTGGGGGTGGGGTGGTGGGGGTGGGTGCTTATTCGAGGCTGGGCGCTTATTAACTTTTTCTACCTTCAGGGTGGGCGCTTATTCGAGGTGGGCTCTTATTCGAGGTTGGGCACTTAATCGAATAAATACAGTACTTGTGTTCTAAAATACTGTGGAAAACTCAGTAGACCAAGATGATTGGGAACTTGCACATTTCTTCAAAATGATTCCCATGTGGTATTAAAGGGGCAGGATATCTAAGACTAGATCTGTTCCGCGATGTTCAAACATTTATTAGAATTTCAAATATTCAGAAAGAAGATACAGTTTTCTGTTACCTTTGAAAATTTCGCAATACTAAGAAACGAAATATATGAATGTATACAGTACGCTAGTAAGTGTACATCCGCCCCCTCCCCTCAAAGAAATCAAGGAGAGAGGTGTCTGTGTCATTTACAGACGTACAGAGTATTTTAGAAATACCAGCAACTGATGAGATCCACATCAGTGGAGAATCAAAACCATGGTATAGGCAAAATGATGGGTAAAACAGTCAACAGACTTGTGCATAAGTAGCTATGTTTGATTCACTTGGTGTCAGAGAAAACAAAGGAGCTATAAACCTAAACACTGAGCTCCAGAGACAAAAGCTTGATCAAATAAATTTGATGAAAGAAACATGAGAATTTCTCTAGACAAATGTTTAGCTTTCTTGAAGTAAAGCTACAGCAAACTCGGATCTGACCAAGCCAGATAAAGATAAATATGACATGTGATAAGAAGCAAAATACTGTACTCGCAAACAGTTCTTATCAAACAGCTGGGCGCGGTGTCACAATATATAATTTTTAAAGTAAACGACAAGTTCACATAATATTTCAAAGTTTGTCGCACCACAGAGCTTAAAACATATTGAGAATTTAGCCTAAACAAAGTACATGTATATTGTATTGTATTGGCATTATCGGACAATCTAGTCCATAATTTTAGCATGTGTTAGTAATTGCACATTTCCTTAAACATTTTCTGAGATGGCTTTGGAGTCAGATTCGTGATCGGCAGATGCGGTGACAAGAACCACAGACATAAGTGGAATCAGTGGGTGGAGCAAGGGCCCTGGCCTTCTGACGTTCTCTCCTGGTATCCACTGTGTATAAGTACATGGTAAATTACAGGGGTGTCAAACTCTGTGAAGTGACATGTAGATAACAGCGGAAATCATGCAGACCGTAGACCTCTACAATATTATTATATAAAAGTGATTTGAGAGAGAGAGGGAAAACTAAATATTATTAAGTTATTAACTGGCTATGGTAGGTCTGTATTAATTCTGAACAAGCTGTGACATTAGGCTTGAAAATGACCTTGGTAGCAGTTTTTCACTACACAGACCTCCCAACTGGCAGACTTAAGAGAAAGGTCTTGCCAGCCCTACTTCTCAACAATGCCACGCTGTACAAATAATTGATGTAGTTCTTTTTCTAAAGTTTGGTTAGTTCCTTTTAATCCTTCCACAACTTTGTGTGCCCAATGGAAGTATTCAACTACTCTTTCTTCTGTCCACCCTTCTGGTGTAACACGATTAAGATCTCTCAGGTTGTATAGTTTATCCCCAAGTTTTACAAGCTTGGCTTTGTGACTGAAATTAAAATAAAAAGAAACAAAAAAAAATAGTAAGCAATGAATTGTAAATAGTATCTCCTACCTTGTCGACTTGTTGTCTGTTGTTAGGTTAGTGTGCTGTCATGAAGACAAAAGCTATGTTCCTGGGTCCTGGTAATGAATCAGACTGCTAGTTTACCTGGCCTTCCAGGTAAGGGAGGGGGAGGGGGAGGGAGCTTATAATCCCTCTGTGATAAATACAACCAACTAATTATGAAACCAGGAAGTCATGAAAAGCCAAGTAGTGTGGTGTAGTTGACAACCACATCCTTACCAACCTGCAAGTTTTTGCATGAAGAATCTGAAGTCTTTTCCGCTCCAATTTTGGTAGCCTTTTGTCATCAGTAACTTCACTCACAATGTCTCGCACTTCTTTCCCATATCTAGATTCCAGTTCATCAAAAGTGGTATTTGTGTCTTCAACAGTATCATGAAGAATAGCTGCCTTCAGTCACAAAACATGTATGGAAACAAAACAATGTTGATAAATTTACTTTTGAGCTCACCCATTATTTATATTAGATTTTACGGCACTACACGTCATGTCAACCACATGTATAGCACAGCCATATAAGAGAGATTTATGAATAGAAATCCCATGAATTGTTATCAATTTACATTTTTCCTGTCACAAACAACACCCGGATTAATTCCTATTTCGCTCTAGTTTGAATACTTCAATTGATGTACTGAAAGAGAGCTTTGCAAATTTCAACTTCTGCACTTCAGGGCCAATCTTTGTAGTACTATGTCTTTATACCATGCCATACATTGAAGTATATACAGCCAATCAAGAGACAGGAAAGTTGTTGTATATTTGATGTTATTACATCCTACCTTCTCATCATGTGCTAAGCATATGCCGCATTGGCATGGTACAAAATAGTTATGCAAATATGCTCTTTTGTGGTATACCATGGAATATCCCACTTTTCACTTGTATTTTCTTGTTATACACACTCGCCTAAAGCCACATGTGCATACCAAGAAAAGTCAAGCAACTTGTGGCATATTCCATGGTAGAGGCATGGTGGCCTTACAGTTAGTGCATTCACCTCTGGATTAAGCAGTCCCAGTTTGAGCCCTGGCCAGGGAAATTATGTTGTGTTCTTGGGCAAGAAGACACTTCACTCTCACAGTGCCTCTCTCCACCCAGGTGTATAAATGGATACCAGTGAATTTAATACTGAGGGTAACCCTGCGATGGACTAGCATCTCATCCAGGGAGGAGTAGAAAAACTCCAAGTCACTTCATGCAACTGAAACCGGAGATAAGCGCCAGCCTGATGAGCCACTTGGCTCATATGCAGACTTTACCTTTACCTTATACCACTCAAAAGCGTTGCATGTGACTAGTATATATCAAGTGGTGGTTTGTCCATTATCACTGGTCACAATTCTCACTCTTAGGTCTTTTCTTTTCTTTCACATGTCAGTAATTTATTTACCTGTTTAATTTAAGTTTGTCATTTTTGTGACTATTCAGCTCGTTTAGTTTTCACAGATACTTGAGCTTATACTACTATACATGGTTGGCCTGGTTTGTTGGTTGTTCATTTTTGAGACACCCGACATTTCCCGTCTGGGCGGCTCACATCATTGTACTCTAAGTGACTTTTCTAAGCAACTATTAGTTTGACGCGAGGGGCACCATATATTATTTTCTATTTGCCAAAGTGGTTTTCGTGGTATTTCGTGTAAAATTTATCGCAAATTACGAGAATTTGTATTGGAACTCACTTTACCAGAGACGTGTATTTACAACGCTGTTTAGCTTACTGATTACAACCACTTTCCACGACCGAAGTAAGGGCAATAAATCCACGGTCCTAGCATTTGATTACCGGTCCGCACAGTTGCAGATTACCTGAAGCACGTCCGTGTCTTGAACGCCACCCTCTTTCCACAGGATATAAGCTACTCCGATTGGATGATTAATGTACGGTGTTTTCTCGGGGTCTTTCCGTCGCTGATCTCTATGTTTTAAGGCAGTAAAATGAACTGCTTCAAGGATTAGATGTTCATCCTCTCTCTTGTCCGCCATCTTGGATCTCATTCCCAGATCCCGCGCGTTTGGTTTGGTCAGTCCCTGCGGTCCTGTGCTGCGGACAACCAAGGACAACCCGCTATTACGGACAAAATCCAGATCCCCGGCGAAAGCTATAGAGGTTTGACTGGAAATGACTCCTGCTACTACGGACTCTCGCTATTACGGACATCAAACGTCCCTGAGCATGTCCACTATAACGAGAGTTGACTGTACTTGCCCAAAATTTCGGCCGCTAAAATTCCGGACCTTTTATTTCCGACGTTTAATTTCTGTAAAAATCATAGTGTTCCTGTATCATCGAGGTTTCACAGATACAACAACAAGAAAATAACACAAATTCTATCAAGCCCCTCTCAAGCAGTGTCTGACCTAGAGTTTCCTACATAAAGGAAACTAAGAGGTTTGGAGTACTTAAACGTTTTAACTGTACTGTAAATATTTCGAGCACTTAAAAATTTTGGACGATTTTATTTTCGGACAGTTTTGTTCGAAATTAAAATCGTCCGTGTTGTATGGTTACTTATTATACTGTATGACTAGCTCCGTGAGCGGGCAAGATGAATCAAATCCTTCGCTGTGACTGGCTACCCGAGCGGGAAAGATGAAGCTATCTTGCCCGCTCGGGACTACCCGCCGTGTCCCGCAAGAAAAATATCCCCGAAAAGCCATATAATAAATCCTTTATTGACCAAGCTTGTTCGGTCAAGATGGCTTGATATTGGTCTCGTTAATTATTTTTTTGCGAGTTTATGGACCTCGAGTCCGTCTCGGTCCACAAACACGCAAAAAAACAAGAATTTGGCCAACTGATGACGAACTTTACACGAGTCTTTCCGC